TTTATAATTTAAATATTATATTTATTATAATATATATGTATATTTGTCTTATAATTGGGTATAATTTGAGCAATTTAATATTGCCTTTTCTCTCTTGTTATTATCTCTATCTCTTCTTCTCTTTCTCTCTCATTTTCTTTCTCATTCTCTATCTCTATTTCTCTCTCTCTCTCTCTCACTCTCACTCTCTCTCTTCCAGTCCTGGTCTCTTTCTCACTCTCTCGCTGGCTCTGTGCTTTTCTCGCACTCTCTAAATATGTCTCTTTGGCTCATGCCATTGATAATTGACATGTTTATCTTATCTTTATGACATTGTTGTTGTTGCACTTGGTTGGCTGCTTATTTCGATTATCTTGATAAATTACGCCGCTCGTGACATCCAACTGGCGGCATTAAAACTTTTCCCTGTATATACGTTTTTTTGTGTGGTTTTAATGGCCTAAAGCCCTTGAAAAGCGCGTTGAAAATTAGGCCATTGTGGTTATTTTAGTGCTAACTGAAATTTACGCATCATTTGCCAGCTTTACATACGAGTTGTACTTAAATTAGCATCTGCTTTTTACGCAGTTCAGTGGGTCCATAGGCCCTTTGTTCTCATGCCCCATGAGCATTATGTATTATGTATGCCGTGTACACTGCGAGTGCCAGTTAGTCAGACGGACTGACCCATCGTCACCAGCAGCATCATGAGCAGCAGCAGCCGTTTGTTGGATGAATGATGCATGTGATTCACTGAGCAGCTGTTTTAGATACTCTATCATGATGCGTATTATCGCGTGATGCGCCCATATGTATTCCGACTTTCAAATAAATTTTTAATCATTTTGTTTTCGCTTTATTCGTTACGATTGCAACTATTTATAGCTATAGGCATCACCTATAGACTTTGCCAATACTTCACGATGCATTCTTGTGAAAATCATATCCAATTTACCTTAACAACAATTACAACCACAACAAAGCGACATACTCAAATGCCGCTTCGATATAAGTAGAGTGGAGGCTAGAGAGTGAAGACGAAGCCCAGATAGCTGCCAGACAACGATCAACTCATATGACTCACACCACCGAAGCTATAGTTGTTGCTTTTTTAGTTTTTGTTTTTGTTTTTGTTTTTTTATTGCTCCTGCTGTCAGCAGTTCTACAGCACAAAGAGAGTTTTGCAATACGCAAACATATGTTGTACTCGCAGCGCTCCCTTGCCGTATTTGATATCGAGGCAACGTTCACTGGGGCCATTGAATAATTAAGAAGCTCATGTCAGCGGAAGGCGTATTACAAAGTGCAAAAGGGAAAGACATGCTTAGAGCGAGACAATGAAGGCTGTTATGAAATATGTATGATTATATAGTCACACACAATGGCGCTTGGCTTACATTGGATCGGATTGGGTTGGATTGGATTGAGTTATGCTGTGGGGTCTTCCATGGGAACACATGTCACTGGGTTGTGGCGGACAAATGTCTGTGGGAGCTGCCACTGGCTAATGTTAATGGGTCTTTCCCATTAACTGCGAATTTTTGCTTAATAAATATAAATTATGAGATTTTAATAGTCATCGCTGTGTGTACATAAAAAATCACGTTTTTTTGACTTCTCATTTTTCTGTAGAACTTCTTTATGTGTCTTGAGTGTGTTTTCTTACGAAGCTCTATCATGGATTGCAGATTAAACATTATGGCTAGTTAATATGATAAGAAATTGTAAATCACTGAAACCTCGTAATATCGCTATAGCTTAATTAATAAAAAATCGATTCAAATTGCACAAATAATTAACGGGGATTCCTGAACTATATTTGACTCTTGATGAATAAGCGAAAGTATTATATTTTATATATTGAATGCTCTAATTAAATGCATGCCAATTTAATTAAAGTCCACTCACTCATTCCTTTTCTTTCGTCAGTTAAACTTGCAATTTTTATAAGACACAGCTGTACAGGAAAGGTATATTGAAGTTGTGCAAATGTTTGTAATAAGCTGCCTTGATCGAGCCACATTCTATTTAGATAAACATCGATTTAAGCAGTTCTACGAGGCAGTAAATTCGAATAGGCTTAGCTCTACAGAGTTCCCAATTTATTTATAATATATTTCTGAGCAGTTGTAAATGTCCTCATTATTTATAGATAGTTACAAAATATAAATTTCAAATTTTAAGCCGTACTCATTATCCTTATGACGATCGGTATTAATTGTGCACATGATGGCGTTGCTTCTGCGACTGCCCTTAACTTTAATGTGCACTTATCGATTATTACATTCGATATATGCTTAGTTAAACATGCAAACGACCTCCAACACTGGTTGGGCGAGTGTCATCGTTGGTCGACATCAAAGTAGCCGCAGAAGATTAAACACTCGTTTCCGCGTTGAGTGTAATTTAATTTACAATAAAAAATATAAAAAACAACAACAGCAGCAGCAGAAGGCAGTAGGCAGCAATTACAACGAGTTTACTTCTTCTTTTATGCAGAGTGCTGCAGTTCGCAAAGTTAATTAACTATGTGGCGGACGTTATCTCTCTCTCTCTCTCGCTTTCTCTCTTACTCTCTCTCTAGCTGAATTAGATAAAATGCTGAACGATTGAGCTCGTGTATGGCGCATTTGTTGTTGTTGTTGTTGGGCACATTAAGTGTTAATTAAAAAAAGAACTAGAAACAGTTACAAAACGAAAACTGTTTCTTAAAAGTCATGCAAGTTCAAGTTTGTTGTGGTTGTTGTTGTTGCTGTTGTGGGTGAAGTGTGAAGTATTCTTGGTAAAATGCATGAAGCAGACACAGCACGTGCTTTGTTATTGGAGCATGTAACGTTTTATGCGATGCTGCGGAAAAAGGCGATGAATCAACAAATGTTGAATAAGTGAGCGAATGTGTGTGGGAGTGTGTGTGCGTGTGTGTAGGTGTGTGTCCGTCTGTGTGAGTCTGTGCCAGCTTCCTGTGACAAAGCGCAAGATGCAGCAGAAACTCTTGTACCTATGGCTAGGCTCTTTGTTTTCGACTTGCACATGTCGCGATGTGAGATAAATGCCTGAAAATAAGCAAAGGGGCTGAATCAGATGCACACCCACACATACATATACATCTAGAAACAATGTGAAACATCTGAGATACACACAGAGTCGCACACACATAAACAGAAATGCAGTAAAGGCGCAATCTCAGCCTGTGAATCTGTCTGTCCACATAGCTGCAGCAGGAGCGCAGTTTCCGTTGCATGGCCAGCCATAAGAGTCCTTAGAGAATCGCAGGCGTAAACGGGACAATACAACAGCAAAGTCAAAAGAGTTTGCTGTCTCTCGTTTACCTCCTCTCTCGCGCCCTCTCTCTATCTGTTCTTTTCTTTGCTTTCTTTTTATTTGTCTCTTCGTTTCGTGACTTGTTTGTTTGCACGTGTTAAACATTTGTGCAGCTTCAAGTGCAGCAGCCAACAGCTGCCGGTGGCCAAGGACAACTCCTGCTTCTGCAGCTTCACAGACAGGTGTAAACGTTGTTTAGCACACAAAGTAATGCACCTAGCGAGCTACTGCTTCAATGCAGCATATCTGGCTTTATGCTCCACTTGGGTCCATGTGTTGATTTAGATGCCGACGGTTGCATTTTGATTATGCCAAAGCACTCGTCGATGTCTGAGGGTAGCTGCAGACTTTTGTTGATGATATGTGAAGCAATTTAATTACAAGCATACAACATGTGGTAACAGGAACTCATGTAATTACAGCCCAAACAGTAAGAGGTGCCCACGTACCAAACATAACAACACATCATTCATTCAGACAATTAGAGTTGAGCTTTTGCCTTGTCTAAAAATTTCGTTATAAATATTTTCTATATTTAGACCAAGTTCCTTTTAATCAAAACGCTATCTTTTTTAACTTTGCAATCTGTAATCTAAAATAAACAATTTGTGGGTGTGGCTAAACTAAATAAATAGAGCAAAGACTAAAGAGGCAAGCAAAGCTAGTAAATTGTGAGTGAGTTTTCTACATTTTGTAGTTTTTTGTGTGCAGAAGCTGATCCGAAAGAGAAGAAGCTGTTCCCATTTAGAGATGTTAGAAATACAGTAAAGATTCGTTTAATAAAATAAATATAAAATCTTTAATTATGTGAAACTAAGAAAAATGATTTATTTTCTATTAATATATTTTATTTCATTAATTTTTAAATAATATATGCCTTTATTTGATTTGTAATCTTTTTTTTTAATGAAACAGAAATCATAATACCAACAAACAGTTCGAATTATAAATGCTTATTTCAAGCCACTGAATCTATGCTTATATTCTATACATGCATTTAAAATAATTTCTGAAATATTTAACTATCAACTTAAAAGTTTTTTATGTTTTTGCCTACTATCCCAAATGAGTAGTGCCTTATTTCTTGAACTGTGATATTCAGATTAAATCAAGATTGCAGCTTTGAGGTCATTAACTTGCTGGAGCCACTAGCCTTTCAGCTGTGTGCGATTTAAATGGTAACTTAACTGTTATTAGTGGCACTTGGCACTTGTGCATGTGTCGATTAGAGTCTCAGCTGCAACGCCACTGAAACGAATTGAAATAATCGACGCCATTTGCTGATTGCCTATGCGGCAGCAAAGTTTCAAAAACGGACCTGAAATCAACTTTTGAAAACATGCAATGACCGAGCATTCATTGGGCTTTGTGTTGTGCTTTTTTTGTGGTTTCCTCGCTAGAATCTAGATCAGAGAGTGTCGATAAAAATCGCAGCGCTGGTCACTGCACGCAGCGACGTCGTCGTCGTCGGCGTCATTGTTGCATGTGGCATAGAAATAATAAAGCCTAAAGCAACAACAACAACAATGCAAGTTGTGTTGCTGTAATAAAAAAATGCCTGAAAAGAGAAAATGAAATCTATAAAACGCGAGGAAAACCGTTTATTCGCTTATTGTTTGCATGTCAGGCGAACATTTCACTAGGCAACGCCAATATTGAATTGAAAGAAAAACTAAAATCATTTTCATGTGTGTTTGCAGGGCGCCAACAAAGAAATACGCGAAGCCATCGCTGATCCCTCGCCGGAGGTGCAGGCCAAAGCGTGGTCTGCGGTGCTTCCATTGGTCATCAAGCTGAAGCGGTGCTACGAGCACTCCCTGGAGCTGGACAAAATAGTGCCCAAGCTGCTGGGCCAATTGGTTGGCGGCAAGCTCAATCCGACACAGCATCTGGAGACGCAGCAGGCGCTGGTCAAGCAGCTGGCTGAGATATTGGAATTTGTGTTGAAATTCGATGAGTACAAGGTGAGTTACACGACAGCCATGTGTGTGTGTGTGTGTGTGTGTGTGTGTGTGTGTGTGTGTGTGCGTGTTTGTGTGGGTGTATGTGTGTTACAACTCTTGCCTAGTTTGGGCACCAGTTACGCCCAATGTATAAATATATCGCTGCTTCAAGGCGCGTGGGTCAACAGTGTTATGTCTTCTTTGAGACCAGACCCGACCAGAGCAGGCAACGTTTGCTGTCGTTTGGCTTACCTTATGTGGGTGCAACAGCCGGTTGAGGTCTTAGCCAACTCTTTGCCAACTCATTGCGCGCGTGGTTGCATTTTTAATTGACTGCCAGTTCGTACATCTATCCATTCGTCTCTCGGTCCCTCCAGCTGCCCGTCGGTCCGTCTGCCAGTCAGTTAAGGCGAGCGCGTGCTGCTGCTCATTGATGAAATATCTTCAACGTTGCTGCATGCGTTCTACAGTGAAGCCTCATTTGCTGCGCACACACGCACTCATTTTACTGGCTTGGCCAAATGTCGGCGCTTCAGTGAGCACGCAAAGCAGAACGTTGTGTTTTGAGGCTGAGCGTATCTCTAGTAACTCGGTTGAAGCGTGTTCAAAATAATTTAAAACTGTTAATAGAAAAATATTTTTCTTTTTTTTTATGTATATTTCCCTCTCTCTATGCATGTGTGGTTGAGGCTCTCTTATTAGACCACACTACGGCAAACTAAATCGAAAATATCTTGAGCTCAGCTCAGAATTAAACAAATCTGGTTTGAGTTGTGGCTAAATATCAAACAACAAATCTTAAACTTGGGCAGAGACCGATGTAAATCCTACACATACAGAAATCTTTCAAGATTCGGTATTTTAATAGATTTCATTTTAAGACTATTATAATCGTCAAGTTCGGCTGGAAATAATCGGAATTAAAATCGATTTTAATTCGCACTTAAAATATCGAGCTTTGAGTGTAGCTTTCATAGCCTGAGTGCATTGAAAATGGGAAACTAAATCATAATGGTTTTGCTAAAATGTATGCAACAGGCAGAAGAATGCGTGGCAGACCACATAAAGTCTACATATTCTAGCTCAGGATGCCAAGCTTAGTCGATCTTGCTATATCCGTCTGTCCTTCAGGGTGAACGCAGCAATCTTGTAAGTCTCGAAAGCTAGAGCTTTGAAATTTGAATAGTTTACTTGTCTATACCATACGCAGTACGAGCTTATAATTATAATTCGATAAGAATCGATAAGTTGAATTCTTTTTTAAGCGTAGCTTGAATACTTCAGATTAACTGTGTGGGTTTCAGTGATGAATACAAAATAGCAAAAACATATATAAATGTCATAATCAAGCTCTGAAAAGTCCAATCTAGAAGAGTAATTTAATAATTAAATTCCCATAGTAAAGCCCGTACTGCAGCCCAATCTCTGTCAAATACTCATTTAGAATGGCATAGTTGGAATCACTTATCTCGTCGAATTGATCAAGAATCAATGCAAATATAAAATGCCGTTCTCTGCCCGTGATTTATAGATATCATTGCAGAAAACTAAAATGGATTTAGAGCATTCAAATTGTCTAATGCAAAATTTTACAACTAAACAAAACGGCCTTAATGTAGGTTAAACTGTTAACTCTTAACTTTTGAGATCTGATTTCTCTCTGTATCCCTTTGTATTCCCTCTGTATTCCCTCCTCCCCTTGAAAAGTATATAAATGCGACTGTTTTGTTATGTCAAGCATATACAAATCGATTTATGCTCTAGCAAGTGTGTGTTCACGCGTTATCCCACTGCTCGTTTCCGTTTTATAAAACTTTTATGAAACTGCAACTCAAGGAATGCTGGAGCGGGCAGGGGTATAAAGCGCGTCAGCTCGATAAAGTTCAACGTCATCGGCTGATTCGCACTCATGACTGTAAATTTGTTGCTGAAGTTAATAGTAAGGATCTTGAGAGAGATGAAGGTGCTGTTGTGTGTTTAAGTATCAGTTACACACACACACACTCGCAGGGATGTGCACATGCACTTGCCTTATGTGTAGGCACTTCAAATACTTATTTCTAGGGTCCAAACGTGCCTAACTGTAATAGTAACAGGCATTTCCGTTTCTAGGCAATTGCTGCCTTTCCACACTTTTTTCTTGCCTGGAGTGTCGGCCCTTTGTGTTTTGAGAAAATGCCTCAAAGTATGCTACACTTTTTATTAAGCTGAATACTGCAAAACGTTACACCAACTGCTCAACTGCGGTGAACACTCTGGTCAGCAGACATTCAGTATTCGAATAGCAAAAGAATGTTAAAAAGATACAAATTTCAATTATTGTATTTGATTCTTGATATCATAATATAATAATAATAAAATCGTAATAATAATAAAATAATAATAATAATAATAATAAAATAATAATGATATAATAATAACACCACATTTTAAAAATTTTTATTTTCGTTTATTTATTTGGTGGCTTAGAGCTATTTAACATATAAATCAACAATAATTCTCTTAGAAGCGTGCCGCTTGGCCAACACGGTTGTGCGTTATTAGGTCGTTCGCTGTATTGTTTAGCTTGGCATAGATTTGTCAACAATTAAGATACTTGGCACAGGCACTGGCAAATGGGAACATACTTTAAGTAAGTTTTATAACTCTTTTAGAGTTCAACAAATTGGGCTGATTATTTATCAATGAATTGTTGAGTGTTGAGGAAATGTGGCTGCAATCTTTTTGGGTATTTGCGCAAGTAGTCGGAATAATGTTTGGCATATTTAGCCTGAAATTCGTGTTGGCCCAGCAATAGAGCAGGCTCAACATAGTTCTCACTGTCTCTGTAGTTGTTGTTGTTGTTGTTGTTGTTGTTGTTGTAAGCCAAGGAGCGACTGCCGCCTATGCGAACTATTTGGTCTTCTGGACGTCGGGAGTCAGCTACAGTGAGTAGCTCACGTTGATCCAGTTCCTGCTGGCTTTGTGGCTGTGTGTAGTAGTAGTAGCCATTGTTGTTGTTGTCGTTGTAATTGTGATTGGCAGCACGTGTGGGCGGCAGATTGTGGTTGAGCCAATTTGGGTTCCTGGGATCCGGCCTGACAGAGGCATATTCGCCTCTATTGTTGTAGTAATTAATGGGCAAATATGGACGTTCCTGCTGTTGGAGTATATTCGCTTCATCATTAACAACAATTGGCGCACCAGACCACCTGGACTGCACAGGTGCAGAATAACCCCGAGAGTAGGTCAGCCCAGCGTCTGAATAGCCGAGCCGCTGTTGCTGCTCTGATTGCTGTTGATGATAGCCCCCGAAATGGCCATTGTACGTGGGTGGTGCAAGCTGGGCTGCTGTAAAGCGCAGCGCCATTAGCGAGAATATGAACTATCATGATAATATTACACAAGTCTAAATTAATCAACTTCGGGTTTAATAATAGCTTTATCTGAAATCACACGAAACTCACACAAAGAAAGCTTTTCAAGCTGCTGTTGCTGATCCGTTCTGGTTGCCGCATTGTTACTTACTGTTAGAACGATTTATGCTAATAACGTATTTATATAAGGTTTTGTGCACATTTATATATAGTATAAGATGTTGTCATGTTTCAAGCGCTCCCTCAAGGTAAATGATGAGACAGTCGCAAGTTGTCGGGGCGGCTAGACTGGCGGCAGCTCTCAGAAGTTTTTCTCACGCACGACTCCACTGCAGCCCTGACAGCTAAATAGACGCTCAAGCGTCATCAAATGTACTCGAAAACTGAATTTTGGGCCTGGCTGCAAATTACAAAAAAAATTAAGTACGACTACGATGTCACGTACTGCAATTAGATCTAAATTAGTCTAGCGTCAATTAAAGTAGGAAGCCAAGCAGTGCACAGAAATTGAAATGAAACTCATAAGCAGTACACTGCTCTACAGGCAATAATTAAATTAACAAGCAGTGCAGCTTATACAACATATCTAAGAAGGTCTAAATCCTGTTGGACTAGAATATAATCATCTTCAATTAACTAGATTCCAATTTGACACTGAATCAGAAGATTCAAATAGAGTTTATAAATAGATTTAACAAGTTTTACCAATTGTAAATTGTTTGTATCTTTGTAGATGAAAACACCCGCCATACAGAACGACTTCAGCTACTACAGGCGCATTGTCAGTCGACAGCGCATCGATTCTACGGAAAACATGCTGGTCAGTACAGAGCTGGCGAATCGTATGTCGTTGTTTTATGCGCATGCCACGCCCATGCTGAAAGTGCTCAGCGAGGCCACATCCAAATTTGTGAATGATAATGCGGACGATGTGCAAAATACTACAGAAACGCTTGGCACCATGGCCAAGGTGTGCCTACGAATGTTGGAGAATCCGTAAGTGGAAATCGAATAAAATATAAAACCTATAGAAAGAAAATTATAAAACTCTGGTGCCTTTCAGAAAACTTCTGCAACAGATTGAACGGGAAGAGACGCAAATGCTGGTGCTGCGCGTGATGGTCGGCCTGGTCATACTCTACGATCACGTCCATCCGGTGGGCGCATTTGCCCGCGGTGCCCATGTAGACGTGAAGGGATGTGTGCGACTATTGCAGGCACAACCAGCGATAAAAGCGGAGCCACTGCTGAATGCCCTGCGCTATACGACGAAGCATCTAAACGAGGAGAATACGCCGAAGAACATACGTAATATGCTAGCCGCATAATGCCGGATTAAGGGCGCGGATCAAGCCAAATCGTTTTGTTTATGTGTAAAATTTGTAACGTTAACTTTGTTTAAAGATTTAAACGGTTTTTATTTATGTAATTAATAGGCTTCTACTACGAGTATATATATATAGAAATATAATGTTTAAATTGTGTGAGTGTTGTGCAGAAAGGAGGCAGCATTTAGTTTAATTTATGCATTTCCAGCATTTGTCGTATTCATTTGTAATAAATATATGTATATTTTTCGTATTGATTGGCGCCTCCTTGAGAAGTTAAAAAGAAAATATATCAGTAACAACAACCAGCAACAACAGCAACAATATTTAGATCATAATCTAGCACTAATATTAAGTAATGAACAAACCTATTGCAAATTGAATAATAAACAACAAATTAGCGCAAAGTAAAATATGATAGAAATGAATATCCTAAATTTCAATTTCAACTACTAACCAGAGATTATAAATTTAAATACATTTTTAAATAAATACAATTTAGCATATTTTTTTGTACATGACTATATAAAATTACAATTAATTATAAACAAAAGGATAACAAAACAAAGGCCTGAACAACAAACAAACTAACTGAACCACACGCAGTAATAACGCAGATGCATTTATATTTTCACTTTGAACAAAAACAAAAGATTTGATAAACATATAACGAACCTTCGTATGTCTGATTATAGAAGAACGCTGCGCAATAATACTTTAAGATTTACACATAGAAATTTATAAAACTTGTATTGCAACAAAACAAAAAAAAAAAAAACAAAAAAGAAACAAAGAAAAGATAAAGAAAAAACAATCAACAATGCAAAACAAAAATAAACTAAAAACACATATTAAAGACTTACATATTTTTTTTAGTGAAACGATTCTTTGAATCAGCTTAATTAATAATGCAGGGTATAATGAGAATTAACTAGAGCACAGATCAGACCAGCTCTTTGTCCTCTTAGATTCCGACAAATATTCAGGATAAGTTCTTAAACATACGAATAATTTCAAGGTAGAAAATTCAAACATAAGACATTGAAGTTTTTTGGATTTTTAAAAATATTCTCTATATTTTTTATAAAATGCTGCGTTGCTTATTGTTAAGGATCATGTAACCCATGCAATGCTAAGCTGTTTAACCGCAACAAGCCTTTGGCTCCTCCTTTCCTGGCGTGTTGTCGTCCGGGACGGCGCCTACTGCACGGGCGATCCTTTGATGTTCCTGATTTGCAGGGCCCGCTAGTTCAGCTCCATCGACCGGCTGACCTAAAATACGAAAACTTAAATGATTACAGCTCAACACTTAGTCGAATCAAGTCCTTGGTCTTACCTGCCGACATGCTGAAAACAACACCAATGAGGAGTGCTAGCAGGAAGAATATTTTCATCATTGAGCTTGGATGGCGAACAACGAACTTCGATAAGCTCACAGTGGACTGCCGTCTATATTTATACTGGTTGTCCATGGTTATATAATTATTTCTTAATAAGATTTTACAACCAACATTTGGTATTACAAATCGCACTTCACTTAGTTACGGGCAGCTAAACAGATGCATTCATTAACAAGCCAGGTGAAAAATTGGTAATCAATATGTTCTGTTGGCAGCTCATTCGTGTAAACGGTTGTCAGGAAATACAGTGCAATAAGATTACTTTCATTATATATATATTATATGTATTAATTTATAGTAAATAGTGAATGGAGTCTATATATGCATATAAAATATATATTATTATTTATATACTCCTATCAGGGGAGCAGAAGATGCGCGATTTGCTTATGATATATTTTTATAATTTTAATTTTTCATACTTTTATTCAATATGAAAAATTTTTTTCTTTGTTTTTTTAATTGCTGTTTTTATTTTACTAGACAATAAACAAATTTGTTAACAATAATATTATACAACCAGATGGCTTGGGCTCCAATGAGATCAATCCATATATTTAGCGACTTTACATATTTATCTATTTCTAGAGCATTATCGTGGTTATGTAGTTTATTCATGTATCTTTTTGCATATAGTTGTATTTCTTCTTTAACAAGTGGAAGTTTAACATCTTTGTGGATATTATAATTAGTCACATACCAAGGTGCACATGTAATCATTCTGAGCGTCTTGTTCTGGTATCGCTGTATAATATATGAAATATGAAGTAAAACGCAGCGCATTGAAAACAGCATCCATCTCAGAAATTTCATTAATTTTTCTTGTGTTGGCATCTCATCGATAATATATTTTCAATAAACAGGTTCAATAAAAATGTCTTAGGGCTTATATTTTAGGCATAGATCACAAATCTCCAAATAAATTAATAATGTTTCAGATTTGCAGGCTTCAAATAAATTTTTACGATTGTGGCACGGTGTAATACCGTGGCCATAACTATATATATTTTGGATACAAATAAAATAGATATCTACAGTTGATCGTAAATATTTGGACAGGAATTTATTATTTACATATGGATATCAGTACATTTTTACCAGAATTCAAATGCAACCAAATGCTTAAAAATTAAATAAATAAAATAAAAATGAATTAAATTTAAGGAACGCTACTGGAAAGTAGTGAAGAATTCGCACTCGTTTAGACAATTTAAGAAAATACTGCTCAAGTCACAGACTGTACTTGAACTTATAAAACAATTATAATAGTTAGTAGTAGCCAGTGGCCTACAATTCTATTAGAAACTTATAATAATAGTTATTATATATCTATAAGGAATATATCGAAGAAATAATATCAGAGACGTAAACCTGTGAAGATCCGCGCTAAGCAGAGCGGAGTAGTAATTAAAAAGTATATTTATATGGATTTTCAAAATATTGCTTCTTTATTAATATATTTAATTATAATACGTGGCGGTAATGTGGAACACCATTGCGATATAGCGACCATAGCCACTGATGCACTACATCAGCCGCAACATGCTAGGTTTTTGTTGTCTGGCTCGGCGGCTAAGCTGCGCACAAACTTGTGATGATGGTCATGTCCTGTGCCCTCTGGGTGTTCATGGGAGTGAGCTATAATTTAGTTAGTGGAATATTAAAAATTTCAGCTTATATGCATTTTTTTAGTCTTACCTGCAGACAAGCTGAATACAATGCCCAGCACGAGCAAAGCCAGAAAGAAAATCTTCATCTTGAATGGTGGTCGAGTGGCAAATGTAGTGCAATCGTATTGACGGGCTTTCATTTATAGTAGAGATTTACCTTACACCTAGAAACATATATGTTTTAATTTATTTCGAACAGGTGAAACTGTAATTAGTACACGGAAATACCCGCCTCATAACAAACGAACCGCTGCTTATAAGCAATCAGCATATAATAAATATATATGGATGTATATTATTTGTTTATTTATATACATATAATACATATGTATATATATATATATATATATATATATATATATATATATATATATATATATATATATATATATATATATATATATATATATATATATATATATAAATATATAAATATATTTTGGCTTGTCTTTAATATTTAATTGAAAAACGCACTTCAAGCGAATTTTAAATAAATTTAAAAATTTATTAATTGCATAAAAACTATATCATCCTTTACATATATGAGCGCATATTGTTGAGCAAAGGACCTTAAATCAATTACATTAATTAAAATTTGTTCTATTTGAGTTTTTAGGCAAAAATCGTGTCAACAAAAGGATCTCTTTCCCAAAGCCATATAAAGATAAACTTCATTATAAGACTATCAGATAATTTATGTAAATAAAATTGGCCTGTGAGCTGAGCTACAATTTATCATATTGTTAATTTGGTTGTGTGATCCATAAATTATTAATTATATTTGTTTCTCTGCTAAACATTGCCAGCATTGACATTGTACAAGTGGAACCAATCAAAAGTGTGTAATTTTGTGATTAGATTAGATAAGATTATATTGGGATTTTATGCATTAAACTAAGGTTTCGGATGCAAATATACGATCAGCGTGGAAGTGTGCATCATAGTTAGGTTATAAATGGACATGGGCAAGGCAAATTAAAAGATTGTATCTAGAAGCCTTCATGTACATCCATTGTTATTACTCTGTCGAGGCTTTAATATTAATTTTCCAGTATGCGGCTCTAGGTCCAGGGCAAAATCTGTTAGCACTGTCCGCGTACGCGACGTGATTATCTGTGGTGCCACAACCAACTTCTGTATGCCAAAAATGAAGAGGAATATTAATGTGATTGTGGCCACTGTGAAGATGGGGTGTATCCATAGAGATTCAGTTAGCGGCACAACGGTCGTGCGCGGATCTTTCAGCCAATACCATGCGCTGATTGCTGTGCATACGGATAATGCAGATAGTATGACTGTAATATGAAATAAAAGCGATTATTTATGTGTTTCCGTCCGGCTTAATGCGAAAAACTTTGTTTCTTACTGCGCCAACGGAACGTGGGTGGTCTGTATGATGAAACCACTTCGGTTAGTCGCCGCTCGAATGCCTTTAAGTCTTCGCAAGCTGATGGTTCCATCGCGCCAATTTCCTCGATGCTCGTGGCTGCCTTGATGTGTTTGAAATTGTCCAGCTTATTTGTGTAATTTTTCCTTATTTTGATAAGATTTCACATTTAATTTGTTATTGTGTTGAATTTCCTCTTAAATAATGCCAAATATAAATACCGAAAAAAATACAATATACTAAAGAAAACTTCGAAATCTCTTAAAGTTGGTGTGGTGTAAACAACGAGCAGCTGATTAAATGATTGTTCTTCCCACCACTGTTTCTACCATATTCCAACACTTTTTTAAATTAACTACATTACCAAACACTGCAAAAGTCCGCCATAAATAGTTGCTGCAAAAATTTTTATCAAATATGAGTAGCAAAGAATGGAAACGCGTGGTCAAGTTGGAATATATGAAAATACGTCAGCAAAAGCGATATAAACGTGCTGATGAAATCAAAGAAGCATGGATCAAAAACTGGTAAATTAGCTATACAGAGACACTGTATCACTCGGCGTCTATTTACTATGTTCGTCTACTTAGGGATGAGCACAATCATAATGTGCAGGATTTATATTGCGACTCAAAGGTATGGCAGGCAAAGCCATACGATCCACCACACGTTGACTGCGTTAAGCGTGCTGAGGTTACTAGCTACAATGGTCCCAACAGCGGTCCTCAACGTGTCCCCATTTGCGTGATCAACGCCGTCACGCCTATTCCCACAATGTACACATGGGCGCCCACACAGCAGAATTTTATGGTCGAGGATGAGACTGTGCTGCATAACATTCCGTATATGGGTGACGAAGTGCTCGACAAGGATGGAAAGTTCATAGAGGAACTGATCAAGAACTATGATGGCAAAGTCCATGGCGACAAAGATCCATCTTTTATGGACGATGCCATATTTGTAGAATTAGTGCATGCGCTGATGCGCTCGCACAGTAAGGACTTGGAGGAAACTGCGGCAAGTCCGTCTGTTAAAACAGAGACTATAACAACATCAAAACTTAAAGAGGAAGAGGAGAAAAATGCGACCCCGGCAATAGTAGAGCCAACAATAGAAGCATCTTCAACTATAGAAGATGATAAAGAGGAATCGTCCAATACAGATGTGGCAGATACAAAGTGCAAAGTAGAGAAAGTTAAAGAGAAACTACCGTTTCCAGCACCAATCATATTTCAAGCAATCAGCGCCAACTTTCCAGATAAGGGCACTGCTCAGGAACTGAAGGAAAAGTGTGTTTGGTTTTATATTACGAAAATTATATGCTAAACGTATTTCCTCATATAGGTACATTGAGCTCACCGAGCATCAAGATCCAGAGCGTCCCCAGGAGTGCACACCCAACATCGATGGCACTAAGGCGGAGAGTGTGTCCCGTGAACGTACTATGCACTCGTTCCATACGCTGTTCTGCCGACGTTGTTTTAAATATGACTGCTTCCTTCATCGTAAGTGAAATCTTTGTGTGTTACCTCCAGTTGGGTTACTCTTAATAACGTTTTGTTTTTGCTTTTTCTCTTTATTTGGAAAACAAACAAAAATTGTTGCAAAACATTTCTTTTGTCTAAAAACTCTTAAATTTTGTTAAAATAAATAACTGCAATTTAGGTCACCATGTACAGGGTGAGTCGTTGTTGTAGTTGTTGTTCTCGATAACCACACGCACACACACTCATGCCGCCTAGGCCAAAAAGTCGCCTTGCTCCACATCATCATCAATCTTTCCTATATATATATATTTTATGTCTGTGGAAATCGGCAGAAATTGTCTTGTGTCAAAATGTTCTTGGTGTTTCTCGCCTCATTTCGTGCGGCTTTTGCATCCCTCGTTAAGTAACGTATCTGATTCATGCTCTAACCCCGAATGTCTCATAGTCATGACTTTGCTGTTATCCGTACCCATTTGTGCTCAAAATGTTTCAATTTCGATTCACAGGTTTGCAGGGACATGCTGGTCCAAATCTACAAAAGCGTCGCTATCCAGAATTAAAGACCTTCGCGGACCCATGTAGCAACTCTTGTTATATGTTAATAGTAAGTTCCACATTTAATTAATGTAAATATTTTGGGTGCTCATCATTGTTTTGCTGATAGGATGGGATGAAGGAGAAGCTGGCAGCTGATAGTAAGACGCCGCCCATAGATTCTTGTAACGAAGCCAGCTCTGAGGACAGCAATGACAGCAATAGCCAGTTTAGCAACAAGGACTTCAACCCCGAGAATGGGAAGGATAATAGCATAGCTGTCAATAGTGCAGAAATTAACTCCATAATGGGTAAATTTGCTTATACATGCAGAAAGGCAAAGAGGCTCGGAAATGGCTTCGGCCAACGGGAAATGATGTGCCTTAAAGAAAAGTACTTTCCGAACTAAAATAATTTCTGTTGTAGCTGGAATGATGAACATAACCAGCACGCAGTGTGTTTGGACTGGTGCCGACCAAGCGCTCTTTAGAGTACTGCACAAGGTGTACCTAAAGAATTATTGTGCCGTTGCACATAATATGCTTACGAAGACTTGTCGGCAGGTTTATGAGTTTGCGCAGAAAGAGGCAGCCGAGTTTAGCTTTGAGGATCTACGTCAAGACTTTACTCCGCCCCGAAAGAAGAAGAAGAAGCAGCGATTGTGGTCCCTACATTGCCGCAAGATACAGCTGAAGAAGGACTCATCGTCCAATCATGTGTACAACTACACACCTTGCGATCACGCCGGTCCTTGCGACATGAACTGTTCCTGCATTCAAACGCAGAACTTTTGCGAGAAGTTTTGCAACTGCAGCAGTGACTGCCAGAATCGTTTTCCAGGCTGTCGTTGCAAGGCTCAGTGCAATACCAAGCAATGTCCTTGCTATTTGGCGGTGCGCGAATGCGATCCAGACTTGTGTCAGGCTTGCGGAGCCGATCAATTTAAGCTGACCAAAATCACCTGCAAAAATGTTTGCGTGCAGCGTGGATTGCGTAAGTAACACGTATTTGTAGTACTATGAAGATTTTGTCTAATCGTTTTCTTTGCAGACAAGCATTTGCTAATGGCACCCTCGGATATAGCCGGATGGGGCATTTTCCTTAAAGAGGGCGCACAGAAAAATGAATTCATATCAGAATATTGCGGCGAGATAATCTCGCAGGATGAGGCCGACCGTCGTGGCAAAGTATATGACAAGTACATGTGCTCATTTTTGTTCAATTTGAACAATGATTTCGTTGTGGATGCCACACGAAAAGGCAACAAAATTCGGTTCGCCAACCATTCGATTAATCCCAATTGCTATGCCAAGGTCATGATGGTCACAGGGGATCATCGTATCGGAATCTTTGCCAAGCGCGCCATACAACCTGGCGAGGAACTGTTCTTTGACTACAGATACGGGCCAACTGAGCAGCTCAAATTTGTGGGCATCGAGCGGGAAATGGAAATAGTTTAATATGCTTACAAACAATTATATTCTTCAAAGCTTATCTATTCAACTAAATACAAAGTGACTCAAAAATATCGAACAATTAAACGGTTTTTGCCACATTGGCTATAATTGGTTTCGGTCGGGACTTAAAAATTAGTTTCTTCGAGCAAATAGCCCGCACGGTGTATTCGGTTCGCTGGCGACTCTTGTGCTCCAGTGCTACTGTATCATCCAGCAGTGTTCGCTCGGCTCCTTCGGTGACATTCATGGTGCTTGCTTCTAGCATTGCATCAGTCGTATTGAGTAATTGATGTCCTTCGTTAGTTTTCGATTTCTCCAGCACTGCAAACGGTTTTTCCAGCTTCTGCTCGCGTCCTTGTAATATGTGATGACCTATTATTAGTATCTGAAAGCAGTAATGCTGCATATCTATTAAGGACTTTTATTAGCTAGCTCTACTTACGGGCTGTCCATATTTGTTGTAGTACAGATCACCTATAAACTGATCGTTCATGCTTTGATTGCTACGCACCTCCAGATCACCTTGCAGTTCGATGATGGCCCACTCACCACTGCCAGCGTTGTGACTAAAATAAAGAAGCAGACATTACACTATGATTCACACCAATATAAGAGTCTGGGACATTTATAGTACATAACTAAGGGTTTACAGAAAAACAACATTATACGGCTGAGATACATTTATTCTGTTGTGCACAGTCAATTATCAATTATCCTCTAAATTTCTTAAACAATGGATGTACGCTGCCAACATTCTTGCGCCGATGCTCATAGTAGATGGCATCATCACCTCCTGACATTGAACTGAGGCCACCCATACGTTTCGTGGTGCTAGAACCACCTGGACGATAGCCTGGCTCGCCTGGTACTTTCTCATCCTCACAGTCCAAATCAGAAGCAGACAACACCAACTGTAAAAGCTGACCCTGTTCCTCCTGTGTTCCATACATAAGATCAGTTTCGGTGTCCATGCCTTTAAGATGTGTGATGACTTTATAGCTATAGCCCTGATTCACCAGGAACCGCTGGCGCTTTCGTGAATAGCTCATTTCCATTGTATCCTGTGAGACTAGGGTGTAGAAGAATGCATTATATTCCTCGGCAATAGCTCCCTTTTTGGCACGCAGAATACGACCCAAACGTTGTGCTTCCTGACGACGTGAACCGCCATGCGATGAAATCTGAATGAGCACATTCGCCTCGGGCAGATCAAAACTAGTATCGGCCACCTTTGACACGAAAATCGTGTTGACCTATGGCAAAATATAGTGTTAATGAGTATGTTGTTCGATTAGGAAGCAATATTCTCATACCTTGGCATTAAACTTGAAATTCTGTAGAATTTGTATACGTTCATTCTGAGATGTGGGGCCATAGATGAATGGTTTGTTCATCTTGATGGCATAGTGCTTCAAGGCGAACACATTGTCAGAAAAGACAATCGTCTTATCGCCACGTTTCTCGTGGTATTTAATAAGGAATTGACAGCTGCGGAACTTGGAAGGATTCATTACATAGAGCAGCATTTTCTTGGACGTTTTGGTGGTTAGATACTCGCGATAGAACTCCGGCGACATGGGACACCACACTTCGGCACACTGTACACGTGCTATATATCCCTTCTTTTGTAGTTCCAGCCAGTTAGCTTCGTACAGCTTGGGACCAATTAGGAAATTCAGATCTGCAATTTTGTCGTCCTCACGTAATAGCGTGGCTGTCAAGCCAAGCTTGCAGTGGGACTGCACAATGGTCAGGACACGACGAAACATCTTTGCGGGTATGGTGTGCACCTCATCCAATACCATGATACCCCATTCCTGCTCTTGTAGCCAGCGCATCGTTTGTTCCGCCTCCCATGATCGCTTTTGTGTGTGCGTAATCATAGAGTATGTGGTAACCAGTATTCCACAGCCCATGGGCTTATCCTTTGCCTCCGAGGTAAAGCGACAAATCATACTGTCGTCTGCTGTGGACCACATTTTAAACTGCTGCTTCCACTGTTCCACTGAAACACCGCTGTTGCACAGCACCAAGGCGCGCTTACGGACAGTACAACAGGCGGTGACACCCACCAAGGACTTTCCAGCGCCGCACGGTAGCACAATTACGCCAGAGCGTGCTCGCCCATTGCCAAACATTTTACGCAAGCTCTTTTCTTGGTAGGGACGCAGCACCGCTGCCGGTTTGAGGTCAATGTTAATATCGGGATTGTTCGTATCATTACGAAAATCATACTCTGCTAGTAGGGGATGCTCGATTTCGATGCACCGCTTTTGTATAAGCTCAATTTTTTCCTGAGCCACCTCAAAGGATACTGTTTTAAGATTGGCTTCGTCTTCGTCCTCTTCTTCTTTGTCTATCTTTTCGTAGAAGTCTGTAATGTCATCAGGAACTGCTACCGCTGCAGCTCCACCCTCCCCGGTGGCACCTGCTGCAGCTGTTGTCCCTCCTGCTGCAGAAGTGCTAGCCGAATCTTCTGCTGGATTATCAACCCCCGTTGGCAGCTTGGTACCGAACTGTGTGATGGCTTTGCTATCCACTGTGCCCTGTATAAAGCCTTCGCCTTCGTTGCGTATGAGTCGGCACTTCTGAATGACCGGATCCTTAAGCAACTTTTGAAGCACCTCTGGATGTGGCGACTCAATAAAGTATTTGTTATGCTTTAGAACAAGCTTTACTTTTCCATACGACAATGTACAGAGACGTATAAACTCTAATATGCCCTCAGGAATGGTGGTTTTGCTCAAGCGCTTTAGATACTCCACAATGTCGTGTGTTTGCAGTCCTACAGATACAGCTGCATACAAGCTGTATGCTGTTAACTTGTACTCATGTATGTGCTCAGGCCGGCAGACTGGCTCCGAAATAGCAATAAGAAAGTCATGGGCATGTTTGTAGACCGGCGAAAATGATTCAAGGAACACGTGCCCATTCGGTGCCACCCACAAAGGGCGATTAGCGTGATCAGGACGCAATTGCATCTGAGTACGGTAGTCTTTGGCACCGTATTCGTCTGTGTTGGTGTTCTCATCGTTGGTTTCTGCGTTTTTGGACGCGGCGCCCGGCACGCCGTCCGACTCGCTGGCATAGTCCTGGCTGTCATTGTCATCCACCAGTTGGGTGTAAGCCTCATCTTCAGCGCGACGCTTCTTAGCTGTGAACTCGTATCAGTTTTACCGGATACTACAATTGTTTTTGCGTTCTTACCAAATTTATCGCTTGAGCCCCGATCCTTTTTAGACTTTTTTGGTGGCCCCATTGTGAAATTGTTGCTCAGTGAAACTTTGTTTCACATATGAAACAGCTGTTTCCAGTGTTGCAAAGTTAAAAAAAGAAGCGAAAAAAGGCGCGAGAATTTACAAGAACTGGCAACTTTGCTATATGAGCCATGTAAATTATTTTTATCAATTTTAAAACTATATTTATGGATGAAATAATCTTATATTATATTATATTACTTACGTTTTTACGATGATAGGCATATTTGTTTACTTATAAATTAGTTTCAGAAGTTCAATCGTATAATAACTTAAGACCAATTAATTGACCAGTGTGAAACAACCGTACCGTGGCTTATACCATTGCAACTAACATTCTAAGCCTTGCCACATCGGTAAACAAACAGCTGGCTATGTTATGTTAACAGATGTACAGTGAACTTTTACGATTCTGCTTAACGAAAGAAATGCTATTTTTCATTATTTTACAACCATTGAGCGGTATCTCGAACCTTAAATATTTTTTTATAGTATTTATTTATGAAAACTCAATTAATGTGCTCCGCCACATCACTCACATATATGAAATATATCAAAAGTTCCACTACTTAACTCTGAAGTATGGTCGCTGAAAAGCATAAAAAGAAAACAAATAACAATACAAACGAAAATTCAAGACTAACGGATTTCATTCAAAGAAACTTACGGCAAATATGTGTCGTCATTGCCATATGCGATTTTTGTCATGCGATTTTCTTTGTGGTCAATGCGACAATTTTCTTGGTCACGAGGGTAAGTCAGATATTTGAATAAACTGATAAGGCCGTTAAAAGCTATTATTTAACAGTTCAATATATACTCCTCATTGGCGGTTGTGGGAACTGTATTTTGGGTGCTAATAGTGGTGCTATTAATTGTTGGTCTCTGGAAGGTAAGTAAAATAATTTGATATTTTAATTAAATGTCTACAAAATATATCCTTATAAAGCGGCGTCCTATATTAGTTAAAATATGGCTGATCTTCTCAATAATTGGTTTTATTGTGGATATAGGATTTTCAATCTGGATCATCGTGTCTGCTATAACAGTTGATTGGGTTCACTTAAAAGAGTTTTTCATCATATTTGTGGGAATTTGTGCGTGAGACTTTGACTTAGATTATAATTTTGGGATTCAAAATATATTTTCTTATTTTCAGTTATCGAGAGCATATGTATAAGTTAACACATAACATTTAATATAGGGTATTTCATAAGTTTATAACCAACCCTCGCTATCGCGTGTTTCGTAAGTTAAGAAACAGCCCTCGCAATTGCGACACTGCATACTTTGTATCAGCGCGCTATAACTGCAATGGTCAGCGGCGGTAACCAGATACTTTTGTTTACTGCAAGAGTTTCCGTTATTGCCTAAGATTGCTGAGTCGGCTTGCCGACCATGACATTGTGGTGTGATGCGAGTTTTGGCTTAGCTTAAGTGAAATATTCTATGTAGCTAAAAATCAGTTTTGCATTGAAGTTTGAAGAATAAACCCGCACTACTCCGGCACACCGCCGTAATCAAATTGTTATATTTCTGATCATTGCTGAGCCACAAGGCCAGTTAATAGAAAAGGGGGTGAAGTCAAACCCTCCAACATAATCATCATAAGAAGATTATAATTACCCGATCAACGCTGGACCTGCCACCGACGCCTAGCTCATAGCTGGACCAGCAACTTATTGATTAAGACTATAAATACCCGATCAACGCTGGACCTGCCACCGACGCCTAGTTCATCGCTGGACCAGCAACATATTAATTGGCGCCCAACGTAAAAAAAAAAAAAAAAAAAAAAAAAAAAAAAAATTTTTTTTTTTTTTTGGAATTTAAATCATATTAAACAAGCTTGCAGAAAAATTACGATTTATCCTGTCATTCACAAGAATTTCATATTGCGATTGCCTGACAACGTCATAGCCGAATGCGATGGAAAAACCCACACACTGCAGAGTTGCACCGCTTCACCTGGAGCCACCTTTTGTCGTCTGGCATTAGAGAGTTCATGTGCCAAAGAGCTCCATGCAGGTGGCACGGCACACTGTGAAATCCAGCCGAGCAACCTGGAAATAATCACCCACGTAGATGATGGAATCATCATTCTTAACGACGGGTCCGCAAGGATCCAGGTGGATAACGGCACTGAAATCCAAGTACACGGCACGCATCTCATTACGTTCGGGGACCGAGTCGCGATCAACGGGACTCTGTTTTACAACCACAACAACGTACGCAATAGAGTCCCGGGCATTGCCAACTCTCCCTTGCTGAACATCACTGCCAGCCAAGATGTCCTCAGCCTCCCTTATCTTCATCGTTTAAATGAACGTAATTTGGAGGAGATACAGCAATTCAAGAAAGACGCCGGAACTGATCAAGCTTATCGTGTGGCATTCATCATTGGAGGTATATGCTGTGCTTTAATCTGCATTGGCCTCACCCTTTGGCGGTTCATCGACGCAAGGAAGTCTGCGAAGCAATTACGAGAAGTCGTCGCCGGAATTGGGTCGGCCGAGGGCGGCCTTACACTTGAAGGGGGAGTAGTTAACACATAACATTTAATATAGGGTATTTCATAAGTTTATAACCAACCCTCGCTATCGCGTGTTTCGTAAGTTAAGAAACAGCCCTCGCAATTGCGACACTGCATACTTTGTATCAGCGCGCTATAACTGCAATGGTCAGCGGCGGTAACCAGATACTTTTGTTTACTGCAAGAGTTTCCGTTATTGCCTAAGATTGCTGAGTCGGCTTGCCGACCATGACATTGTGGTGTGATGCGAGTTTTGGCTTAGCTTAAGTGAAATATTCTATGTAGCTAAAAATCAGTTTTGCATTGAAGTTTGAAGAATAAACCCGCACTACTCCGGCACACCGCCGTAATCAAATTGTTATATTTCTGATCATTGCTGAGCCACAAGGCCAGTTAATAGAAAAGGGGGTGAAGTCAAACCCTCCAACATAATCATCATAAGAAGATTATAATTACCCGATCAACGCTGGACCTGCCACCGACGCCTAGCTCATAGCTGGACCAGCAACTTATTGATTAAGACTATAAATACCCGATCAACGCTGGACCTGCCACCGACGCCTAGTTCATCGCTGGACCAGCAACATATTAATTTATATATCTAGTATATAAGTACTATTTAGGTATGGATCCATATCAGCAGAAAACAACAAAGAAAAAACGAGATGAAAAAGCGTGTAAAGGTACAATAAAAGTGTATTACTCCAACCTATTAAGATATAAAAATATATGTATGCAATATATTAACGATTTATAGAGAGCCAGAAAAAATCCAAAAAGACCCATAAGAGACCAGATAAAAAGGCAAAGAAACCGGAAAAGAAGAAATCTAAAAAAAATAATCCGTTTTTCTTATAAGATTCTGTGACATAATCACAAACAAATATTATATATATAAATATATAGTAGGCCTTATGACCTGCTCTCATGAAATATATTTTATAAATATGTTCCGAAACATATGTTTTTAAATAAGTAGATTTTCGGTTCTTAATATGGAAGACCAACAATCTGAGAATAATCCATATGGCTATGATTTTAATCCGTTTGGTATAAATATACTGCAAATTTGTTACTTAATTGCTATGTTCGATTTGGGTCAGTCTCTATACTTTTTGGTCCAGTCGACCAGGGTTTTGATTTCGAATGTCAGTGCAATAGAAATTGGTCTGCTCTGTATTAACTGACATCTATTTGTAGATGCAGGTAGATATTTATTCACTAGTTGCAATTCTAGGCTCGTTATTTTGGATTCTGATGGTTATCGCGCTTTTAGTGGGTCTATGGAGGGTAATTTGTAAAAATTTATTTCTTCAAATTTTGATACGCACTCTTAATAATTCTAGATGCGTTTTCAACTCATAGTCTGTTGGCTGATATTTTCGATCGTTGGATTTATATTTGATATATTCTATTTCATTTGGACGATTTCGACTTCCCTGTATGTCGAGTGGCCTCAAGTTATGCAGTTCACTCTTTTATATTTCGGCATAGGGTAAATGAAAGCGAATTTTTATTTGTGACTGTACATTCCAGTTGAATTCTTGTGCTTTTTAGTTATTGAATGGGTATGCATTTATATTGTCTACAGATATTGTGTAAGTATCGTTAATATTCCTGCACACGCGGAAGCCAACATTGATAGAATCGCAGAGAAACCCAGGTCGTAAATGTATTAACTTACCATAATTCAATAATAAATAATCTGTTTTTGCACAGCTACTATCGTCGAGAGCGAAGAAGGAGCAGGAAGGACAAGTTAGAAAATGCAAGAAATGAAGACACTGCGCATCAACGTGAGCAGCGATTAGAGGAGGTGGCGGTACGATAAACTGAAACAATCAGAAATTAAGTAAAATACTATTGACGGGCTTCGCTGTATTTGAACAATGCATATATAACTTCTTTGTAAAATATACATATGTATTCAGATGGAAATAAAATGCCTCCCATTCATTGGCTCTTTAAGATCATTTCAATTTACTGCCTAGCCGAGTGCCTAGTGCCAAAATCAATTCGAATCTGCCAGCACAAACAATAATAATAATTGAGTTTGATAGTTGCCTTTTTATTTCTTTCTTTTTCTTTTTCCTCTTTGAGCAGTGTCTATCACGAGACTCCGTCACGAAGGAGTCACGTTGTCAATGGGGCAAAATCTAATCTCAGAACGGCCAAGAGGCGGCAGCTGACAAAACAAATGCCGTAAATGAAAGATGGCCAGAAGACTTGTCGCACATCAGCACAATGAATGCACAGAGGACGAAATCTAAAGAAACTGGTCATTATATGTGTAAGATTATTGGATATGCAGGCCATTATGTGCTTTGCCTCTGATGCTGCCACATTTCTATTTTGTATAATCCAAGCAAGTAATTTTGTTTGGTCAAATTTGTATATAGCTATTTTTCAATCAATTTATAAGCATTCTCATAGTTAAGTCATTTTTTTTATTGAATTGTTATATATATATTGTTATACTAAATTAATTATATAACTTAAGATATCAGTTTTAATTAAAATAAAAATAGTTATTTGAGTATTTTTATACTTTTACTGCTGTGTTTTTCGCAGTGACACTGTCGTCGGGCCTCAGCTTTTGACAATCAAATGTCATTGATTAAGAGTTGAGTTGCCAACAGCATTCTTCTCACACTCTGTTATATTGAGAATACGTGCTCATAATCATTATAGCTTTGATTTAGTGTACAGTTCTGACCTATGCCTGAACTCTAGTTCAAATGCCGGCTGGATGAGATGGAGAAATATTTGGTAGTTTGCAGCTATGCGATTGCAATTCTGGATCTATTGTCCGCAGTGCTTTTCGCCAGTGTCTCTGGAATGCTATATGCACAGCACGTAAGTTGTGTAGCTTGGGATTGGGTCTAAGTCGAAGTGAGTGCTATCGTCTATAGCATCACTGGACGTCGCTGGCAGCGCTTGCTTTTGCCATCATTTGGATTTGCCTCATTATTGTGCTGTTGCTGGGTATTTATCGGCGCCAGTTGAATTTCGTGCGCTACTGGTTGGTTTTCACCTGCTTGGGCATTATGCTGGATGCCTTTCTCTTACTTTACGGATTGACACTGGCGGTGTGCATGAACTGGGAGGGCGTTAAGTTGACCGTTATGCCATTCGCTGGGTTGGGTAAGACTTTTCCAAACGCCTTGGGTGTCAAGTGCCTTATCCTTTTACAGCTGTAGAAATGACTTTCGTGTTCATTATATACGTATTCTACCTGGATATTATTGAGAGTGAGCAGTGGATACCACTGAGATACACCAGATTTAAAGCCGGCTGTAGCTTAAAGCACAGCAAATACACCTCTAGTAGTGCTGGAATACTGCGAAGGGAGCGCAAGCGTCTAAGGAAAATGTACACGAGAGACGAGAAAGCTGCCTTTAAGGAGCCACACCGTAAGCTGCGTAGAGGGCAGCCTTAATTACCACAGCACACCTATAATTTATGCCTTTCTGTCAAGTCGGGAAAAATGGAAAGTAGGCCAAGCGTTTCTGCTGCTCAACGTTCTCGGATAAGCTATCAAATGTCGTCATGCAGCCGGAGAAGACTACGCTCTTATATTGCGCCTATGCTATAGCCGTTTTCGATCTGCTCTGTGCTGTTCTCTTCGCTGCACTCAGTCTGTTCAAAATCTATTCACATGTAAGCTCGAGTCGAGTAAGCCTAACAGACTATACTCTAGTTTCCGTATTACAGTTAAGCTGGTTAACCATATTTGCCGTCTGTTTTGCCATGTTTTGGTTAACATTGATTGCTTTGCTTATCTATGGCATTTATAGCGTAAGTTGTAGTTGAGCTTTATTAATTTCAATAAAATACAAATTTTATTTGCAGCGCAAATCGAAGCTCGTCAGATATTGGCTTATATTCTCATGTGTGGGCATTGTCATAGAGATCTGTCTGTTGATTTATGCTTTCTTTGGCAAGAGCACTTTTCAAATAGGAGTGGTTGACAATCGTTTGACTCTATTCATTGGTTTATGTGAGCAATAGCGTTACACACATATTTGCATACATATAAATTAACTTTTTTATTCACTTTTGATGTCTCTTACAGTTGTTGAAACATTTTTTGCTTTAATTATCTATCAATTCTATCAAGAGCTCTCGGAACGCATTCCAGTTGTCCGGGAAAGTAAGCAGCCTCCTATAGACCCACCGCTGCTAAAGGTGGTACAACAGCCAAAGGAAGAGCCGCAACCAAAGGCAGAGCTACCGCCAGAATCAAAAGCTAGTACTGTGTCGCCTTGTCGAAGCTACCGATCCTACAGATGCAACATATTGCAAACTAACGCCGATGCATGCCCCAACACCTACACCTGCGGACCAATGCAGAAACAAAATCGATCCTTAAATAATGCAGAACGTTGAAATCTTAAGGTTGTTCTTGAGTTGGCTTATATTTTTAATAAATTTATTGCTTTATACTGTCGATTCATCCTGATTAACCTGGAGTCAGTTCAGTCTGTGTATAAACAGCCCTTGTGTAGCGTGCTTCGATTGTAGGAATACTTATATATATCATCAGCAGGATCATCTTTAGTGTCTTACCTTTGACTAGCCATCGCGCGCTTTAATAGTGTTCCATTTAACATGCACGCACGCACCCACACACACACCCAGCCATTTGGAAATGTTAAAAACAAAATCCTTTTAAAATAATTTGCACAGCAGCAGCAAAAAAACAAAAACAAAAAACGATTGCGGAAACGGAAACAGCAACTCAGAACTCGAAGCTGGCGCAAGTCAAGGGACTGGCTTGGTAGTCGGTAGCCTGCGAACTCTTGTCTATTTATGCAAAAAATGTGTGCATAAATACATATACGTTTATACTTATAATGCCAGGCTGATGAAATACGTGCACTTGCATATATGTATCCACACACACGCAGACATTTACGTGCCTTCCTGATGTCAAATATAATTTACTTTTTCGCGCTCATTTTGTACGCAGTCAGCCCGGGTAGATCCGCTGTATGGCACAAAATCAAGTGTTTGCAGCAGTTTTAACTTTAAGTTTTGTCTGTCAACAGAGAGAAACAGACAGACAGTCAGAGAGAGCGAAAGAGGGAGAGAGGAAATAAAAGTTAAAGAAAATAAACATTTCGATGCAAAGCGAGAATGGTGAGCGCATTGAATTGCTTTGGCCTGGCCATCGGTTGTGTGGACATCATAGGAGCTTTGTTCTTTGAGCTGATGATTATTTTCATGCTGTGCCAAAGAAAAGGCCACAGAACAACAACTGAAGAAGAGCAGTCGACGGATGTGACAAGTGAGACTTTGAATGGAATGTGGTAGAAGTTGCCAGCGATTGCATCCTAACTGTAAACTATTTTCAGCGTTCCGTGGCAACAGGGTAAGTGCTCGGTTGCTGTGGATTTACCTGTTCATATTGAACGTGTGGATAGCTATTTCAATGCTGATGCTCGCTGGAATCATATTGGTGAGTAGCTGTTCAGACTCTATTCTAATGTGTTGTCCACTGAGAACGCTGTCCACAGCACAAGCCACAGCTGATGCTGGTCTGGCTTATCTGGTGCTTTGGTGGAATGATATTCGATGTGGTGTTTGTTTTTTTATGGATCCTGGAGCTACTGTCGGGCGATGTCATTGAGGCGCTAACTAACATCATGATATCATTGCTAACTATGGGCAAGTTATCCACCTGCTCTAATCTAATAGAATCTAATTTCCAATCTCCTTAGCTGTCGAATTTGCCTTTATTCTTATAATATATCACATTTATGTCAGTGTACCACAGTCACCAAGCGCACGGCAAGTCCAGAGAAACCCTTTGTTACGCTTCACACACTTATTATTTTAATTTGGCAAACGACTGCTGAACAATAAAAGACTTGGTTCTGTGCAATTTACTTCGCTTTTAGCTCGGCTGCTGCCTGGTCAAGCGGTATGCCGTATTGCTTTGACTTTCGTGGCTCTAGGGACTTAAAGAATCTATAGGCGATCAATATAATACCAAATCGAGTCAGCACTTGGCCAATGAGAGGGCCATGATTATCAGATAACTCTTGCAGAAATTGCTGCCTGCTTTTGTCGTGGTCATTGAACAAATAATGGAAGATGGTGATAAAGACGTCTCCAATGGCTAGCCATCTGATCTGTAAATAGGCCATTAGCAGCCACAGCCGCATTAACAATTTGTTGCGCTGTGGGTGGAGCTACTTTAGTAAGTATAATTCATTAACTAACACTTATATAATACTTACGCCAACGACACCAACGGCGAAGACACCAAAACAAAGGAGTTTACACATCGCCTGAAGTATAATCACAACGTCCAACATATCAAACTGTTGGGCATGAAAACGTTTACATGTTGACTGCTTGCCAGAATGTTTGTTATGTTACCTTCATGATTTTGGAAAAGTTTATCATCTGAACCATGACAAGGAATGCAGCGGAGCCCTCATATACTAGCGCCATGTAGGCAGAGCAGTCAATAAAAACCGACATTGGGCACTATTTAAGATACTGATTAAATAGTTTGCTCAAAAATTGACTCGAATTGTGAATATGTTGCTTAGCAGTCCATATTTTTCAGATCTTTGTTGATTGCCTATCATGAGCCTGCTGATTTTAAGTAATTCACAAATAACACACTTTTATCGCTTGGCGAAAATCCCAAATTAATGATTGTCCTTCACAATAATATAACTTCGTAAAGTGTTAAAGTATATTGAATTCATAAGTGTAGGCAGCCAGTCAGTCAGTCAAGTCTTTCACAGAACCAATATACTCTTCAACTTTCTGAGCGAGTATATAACTCTCGTCTTTTTTGCACTGCCCCTACGCTGCAATACAGAGCGAAGTTGCCTACGACTCGCATGAGATGTATGTGGAAAGAGAAGAACCCTTCTCGCTCCATTTTTAATTGGAAACTTTATAGTTGCTTTGTGCTTAGTGCTTCAAGTGGTTTATAGTTTTTAAAAGTCTGGCCCACGGAAATTGATTCATTTCCGCCTTGTTGTTCAGCACTTCCGGCCGGAGTCTGGCGCCGTCTTATGGAGCAGACACGCAATCAGCTTAAAGCAAACAGTGGGTAATCCAATATTTAAATGTCGGCTTAGTTCCAATCAAATTCTTATACCAAAGCACATTCAAATCAACGGCATTGTCAACTGCCAAACTGTCATTTGCATGTCGCAGCTAAGCAAAAATATAAAATATTTTTTATTCTTTAATAAAGAGTGCTTAGACCACTTATTGGGTGCCTTTAACTCCACTCCACTGCACTCCTCTGTGCCCCTTGCCATTTTTTGAGGAGCCACTGGCTGTTCAAATTTATTGTTTGCAAATTGAAATTCTTGTCGACACGCACGAGCAACTGCAAAATCCATTGGGAATGCCGGGCACAAGGCAGCGCCTGCTATCCTCTTAGCTGATCCAAGCTTGTCAACTCGGGCAACGTCTTTGCTGGCTTTGTGGATGGGCAGCTCATCATGACTCTTTAGTATTTATTAAGATTTTGATATGCCTTGAAACATATTTCGAAATAATAAACAAATATTTTATAGCTGCGTTAACAAAGTCTTAAGGGAAATCGTCAGGATCCCAAGACGTTCATAGAACAATAAACGAAGCGGTGCTCTACTTGGAAATTTATGCAAATCCTCAGACACTGATACTAGTTAGCATTAGCTATAGCCATGTTAAATTATAATAAGATGACCTAGCGGTCACAGATTCCAGTTGAGAATGAAAAGATTTGTTTAAAAACTTCCTAAAAAATATATATATGTCGATCATTATACAAATCTCACCTTTATTTTGATGATGTACTTTACGCCTTGGTTATATGAAAGTGTAAATTAATCACACAGAAATTTATCTACTTCATACACTGTTCTATTGCGAATACAGACTTCAACAATTGATATGCACAGACTGTGATTGTTGACATGAGAAAAATGTAGTCGTAGTAATGGGCACTGATAAATGCTTTATATTGGCTGTAATAAATATCGATATACTTGCTTATATATTATAATAATAAAAGATGAAATGTATGAATTATATTGTACTCTACTAAGGCATCGGAACAAGATGTTTGGTGCTGACTTGAAATAAGAATATGTGATATCCATATCTTGTATAATCAAAAGAGAGTTGACAAATCCTGAACATTATCTGGAGTTTCATTAGAACCCTTCGACATTTTTCATGAACCCTTCTGTCTGTTTTTCTATTATAGATACATCCATTCACTAGATCGATCGGATACGCTCGCTGTGGAGCTACTACAGGTAACATAGCTAACTTCTCTGTTGTATTACTGTGTTTTGTCAAGAGCGACGGCAAGTAACGATACTCGCTTGCTGTAAGTCTCATTACGATAAAGAGAGTTGGAAGATTGCTATAAATAGAGCGAAACTGTGTATTTTTCATCATTTTTGTTTAAGATGAGGCCACTGTTGCTAATACTATTGTTGTTTGTTGCCGCCACTGCTTCGACTACTTACGGCAAGTAAAGTGTATAAATTGTTAACGGATAAATGAATAAAAAAATTATGCAATTATTTAGTCCCTGACGATCCTATATCTGGCGAAGATATAGACGAAAGTATAAGGGCATTGAGTAAACCAAACGAAGTGGTTGATATCAATACAAAAGGTATACAAATCTTAATCAATAGGTGTCGGTTGAAATAATGTGACTATTATTACAAAAAATGATTGACACAGGCGGCCCGAATTCAAAGCCAACAAACGAAGCGAACGTTCCTACCGTCGCATTGAAGGTAAAACGGACTCTTCAAAATCCAAGAAGACAAAGAGCTGAAGAAAATGCTGATGGCTCTAGTCAAATCATCCAAATACGTGGAGCCGTACTAACTGGAAAATGAAAATGAATATTTATGTGTATTATATTCCAGATAGAAAGCGAATATAATTAACTTAAGAGATCTCAAATGATATGCTAGTCAAAAACAGTCCATATCTATACTACAAACATACAGCGTACCTCGAAGGTAAGTAGCTCTAAGGTAAGTTGCCAGTGTGAATACATTACACTACATTAGTCACCAAAAGCACATGTTTTGTAATTAAATGGGGTTTTTATAGGAGGGTGACTTTAAGCTTCAAAAGCTATTTAGCCGAACAATAATTGTTTTTTTTTTTTGCTGCGGTGGCGGTGACCGGTTACCGCAAGGCCATGTGTTGTAGTTGACATAACTTTTAATAGATCGATTCGTTCCGATTGCGTTGTTTTTCATTTGCCTTGCAATACGCCAGTTGCGCCGAGAAAGCAACTAAATTGGAATGTCTATGCCGGAAATTGATTGATTTCCGTAACGTTGAGTGAAAAGTGGAAAAGAAGAGCACCTAAAACGAACGGACACGAGGCAGGCGAGATTCTGGCGAGCCACTGTAACAACTTAGTGAACAACTACTACAACTTTAAGTAGCATTGACGCCCTCAAGCCATAATGTTGGTTTGCAATTAGCCGTTTATGTGGCTGGGCACTTTGTTGCACTTGCAACCAAATATTGTCTGTGGTAGCTGTGCGTGGGTTGCACCCTGCAGCTGATATGTTGGCAGCAAACATAAACTCTGACAAAACATATAACAGGGCGCATATGGTTTTCGCCAAAAACAACCAAAGGCTGGGTGGCTGGGTGGCTATGCGTGCTCGCCGAACCAAGAGCTGCCAGTTGCCAGATGCCCGGACTGCTATTGGTATTGTATGCTTGCATATATATATATATATTTATATATATATATATATATATTTCTCACAGTCATTGGCAGTGGCTTACGGTGCGTATGTGTGCTGCTAAAAGCATACGATTCACTTGTTACATGCTCAATTAAGCCAGAAATGACAGCACAGCCAACTAAAGTCACGCTTTGTATAGCTTTAAATTTGGCGCATAACTTACACACACACATACACACCCATACAGCCTCTCTCCACTATATATGTTCTGTGTGTCTGTATCAACTGCGTGGCGAAGATCCAGCCAAAATGCGAGTACTTTTTGAGTGTGCAAGTGTTAAAGAGTTTTTAGTGGAGAATAGTAAGTTAGCTGCTTGTTTAGGAGTTAGTAATGCATCTAGTTGATGTATACTTAAAAGACAGTGTAAGAAATAAATTAATAATTGATTTGAATAGTTGTTAGGTTAAGACATTCAGTTAGAAAATCTATATATATTGTATGAATTGTTATATTTTGAGAGCAGCAATATAGTCTTCTAAGGTATATATATACTAGTCAAGACCAGCTCGTCCTGTTTGTGTGGTCTATGAACGCAGCTATCTCGTAAAGTACATAATTTTTAAACTTAAAATTTAATATATATTTATATTTTGCTACAATTCATATTTAGATTATCACACAAAATTTTTGTGTTTATTTAAACATATTTTTTATTTATAATGTTAGCTATTCATTCTAAGATCTGCTGTAACATTTATTGTCGTAGTGAGTCACATTTTATTTCACAAAATGTCATAATATTTCGTACCTTCTACGAGTATACAGAAATAAAGTAGTTGAGCTTTAATATACACACTTCGATGCCAAAATTAAGCTTAAATTTTTTGTGGAAGGTTGCACGAGGAACCTTCGTAGAAGGCTGTCGCATAAGCTTACGTAAAGGCCTTTAAGGCACACATATGGATTTTTGAAGCGTGTTGCTTAGTTGTGCTTTAACATTTGGTTTCATGCCAATTAAACTATTTAAAAATGTGTCCCCATAATTACAGCCGCATCCCTTTGTGCTAAGTTAATTATCGAGTACGCAAAATTGCTTTGCCAAGTAGAGCAGGACAAAGCGGCTGGCAATTAGCGCTACTCGGCATATTGCAGACTCTGTAATATGCTTAGTCAGGCCTCGTCCTTTGCCAGAGTGACGCAGGACACGTGCAAAATACATACACACCAACACCAGACCGTACAGATGTTTTGCTTTGGGTGCAAAAAGGCTGACATTGTTTTCTAGGACGTACTCCTAGTGAAAAGTTGTGTCTTGGCTTCAAGTTTGAGGTGACGTTATGAAGGACATGACACCCCTCCCCCCACACACACCCACACACACCCACACATGCCCACATTGGCACACACTAGGAATTGCAAATCAGTCGCCTAATGTGTACATAATCAGTCATGTCGCAACATGTGAATTCCATTAGTGGATACACGGCTCAAGCAAACAAACGAGCATTAATCAGCGCAGGACGAGGTCGCAAATGAGAACGAGAAAGTGAGGCCAAATAGCGGGCAAGTATCTCAGCTTAAGGTCCTGACCAACATATCCTTCTGCCAGCAGTATAAGCTTTCTCTGTTATTTATGTTTCTTTTTGTCTAGCCATTTAATTATGTACATACACATGTGGAATAGCAAGAAGAAGCTCTGTGTAGCCTACTTAAGAGCACAACACACGCACACCCATACACCCACACATTAACGGGCGACTTACAAATTGCCCCAGCTACCTTGATTTATCCCCAGATATCAATGCAACGCTGCAATGGCACTGAAAGCCGACATCTTATTAATATGCCATTCATTTGGCCGCTTCATAGTTCATTAAAGCAGGACCTGAGCGTCCGAACAGTGCATCCTGGCGCCAGTCTTGGCCGCAAAGTGCAGCCAGCAAAAATTATGCGGCTCGTTTGCTACTGCCTTGTTTGTAGCTTCAGTCCATGGACAGGACGAAGAGCTGACTCTGGCACTGGCTCTGGCTCTGACTCTGGCTCTGGCTCTGGATCCGAGCCATTCGTTTATCCCTTTGTTCTCGTTTATTTGCATGCCATTTGCTTTTCTCTCTTATTTTTTCATGGTGTGTGTCTTAAATGTGTGTGCGTCCGTGTGTGTCGTTTGTTTCTTCGGTCACGTTTGTCAGGGCGCCTGTTACTTATGACTGTTGTGTGAATTACCAATATGCATTGTATGACTACGATCTACGCTTTATATATTTTTGTGAATGTTTTCGTTCTTTGCCTAATTGGATACTCAAGAACAATCTAAAAAAACAATCATTGTTTTTTTTATTTACACATATATATACAAAATATTTAAAGTAAGAGAGTTCCTGATTATAAGTAATTCCTAATATCAGACAAACATTCGTAACACATAACTGCTGATCAAGAATAATTCTGATCACAGTTGCCTATAGCTACTGTAGAATGCTGCTCTTGTATCATATAGAAAACATGTTTATATATACTATATAGTTCTCATATTTTATACATATGCAACATTGCTTTAAAGCATATACAGACTCAGCATAAGAGAAAAAAAAAAACATTTCCTTATTTACACTTCCTCTGTGCTGGGTTCTCTGAATTGCACTCTTAATAACGAATTCCTTTTTTATGGTTTCCGGCTTATAGAACAGTACATAAATTGGCAAGGAAAGCAAAATCACAGCAAGCAATTCTTTAATCACGTTGTATGTGCTTGTTTTTTAAAGCCTTATTTGATTTTTGCGAAAAGCTGTTGGTGTTGTAGAAATTCGTGCTGCTGTTGCTGATGCAGCATTGTTGCTTTGTTAGCCAAGTTAAGTCTGAGCCAGCTTCCGTAGTTGGAGCCGCTGTTAATGTCGCAACAGTTGCCATTCCAGTTGTCTCTATCTCAACCACTGCTTCTGGCATTATTCCGTCGCTGCTGCAGTTGCAGCTGCAGTTGCAGTTGATATTTGTGCGCCAGGCGTAATTAGTGCTCATGGCATAGGGCGCACTTCCTCTACGCGCAGCTCCTGTTGTTCTAGCTTAGCTCAGAGCTGCCATCGTTCGTATTGTGGCACTGCATTGCGTTCCATTCGTAATCAGTTTTTGCAGGCTCCAGCGCTTAGTTCCGAGGATTTACGAACTGGACAACGACAGAGGGCAGCCACATACAATCACGTTACACAGACGCTCTTTTTGTCATCATGATGCGCTCTTTGCTGTTCTTTTCATTTTATGGATAGGTCTTGGTATTTAAATTGAAGTTCCATTTGGTGCGCTAGTTAGACCAACATTTGTTTCAGCTTTTCAATAAGAAATATTTTTTTTTTTTCAAAATAATGGATACTTGGTGAACACATAATAATACTTTTCAAGTATTTCCTGCCAAGAAGTCAGCTTGTAATAAAAAAAGGTAACTTTTATTTGAAATAATTGCCAATTTTCTATCGATCTATCGCTAGAAATATTTCGTATATGTGGCTTTTGATGGCTTGAATCCTGAGACCCTCCTAAGATATAAACACGAACTATTCCAGTCACGTCCAGTTATCCAAAAATGTCATTAAATAAGGTATGGAACGTTGCTTATAGTTTAATAGAATTGTAAGCAAACTGAGTTAAAAATGTTCATCTTAGAATCAGAAATTATAAATCAGAAATATAAATGCCCAAGCTTTAATATTGTCTTAAATTTAAAACATGTTTCAAACGAAATTCCTGTCATAGTTAGCTGGCTAAATATGAAACTCATTTCTACTTGTACACTCAATTGTCTTGTGCTCCCTAGCTGATTCAACTTTCAATGCTAATTGCCTTTTGGCAACTTTCGCGACTTGATTCAAACTTCGCTTCCCACTGGACAATGAAAGAATGCCATTTTACTATATCTTCTTCTTTCTCTCTGGGTGTGTGTGTGTGCGCGTGTTTGAGTACGACTCGATTGCCGTTTGCTTTGGCCATTGTTTGAGTTCACGCAGCCTTGCCATTAATTTCACAATTAGTTAGCAGCGGCTGCTAAAGCTGCTCGGAACCACCAGGGAACCACCTGACGGCAACTCAAGACAAAAGTCCAACAATCTTTAATTAATTTTTACAGCAGTTCTGTGTGTGTGTGTGGTGGGTACACACACACTTATATATGTAAACATATATATATGTGAGTCTC